CAGGACGTAGAATCAAAATGTCTCTAAGAACATTTTTGCAAATAATGTATATAAACTTGTATGACTGCAAAAAGGAAAATGTTATTACAAACAAATCAGTTAAAAAGTGGGCAATTTGACTTTATTTTTAAGAGATATAAATTTATTTTCAAAATATTTTGTGAGTGAAATTTCTCAACCTTCAGTCTATACAAAAATACTATAAGCAGGTTTAAAATTTATAATTTATGTACATACACACTATGTAAAATATTTATTCTATTAATTTGAACAAATACAATTTATCTCAGAAAAATAAAGCTTTTTTCCCAAGAGTCTCAATTATTCCATATTTATTTGAAAGCAGCAAAACAGATGATATAATTGTTGACAGGAATCATAGAATCATCACAAAAGACTTGATCATCTCATCCACACATATGCCCTATTATGTGAGTTCTCAATTACATAGCTGAGATTGTTTCATTTTTTATAAAGCTTAAAAAATACAGAACTAAAAAATATGGCTTTAATTTCAGATAAAGATACTGAAATGTTACAATTTTTATTTTTTTAAGTAGCATAAATTAATTGAACAAATGGGATACACTGTGATATTTACAAACATGCATATAATGTACTTTGATCAAGTTTCCCCATCTAGTCTGTCCTTCTTAACCTCCTATCCTAAAATACTAGAATATTATTTTTAAAGAATGAAAATTTATCTTATGAGAAAGACTAGAGGGATGTAGGTTAATTTTCCATGATGTTTTCCTTTCATTTTTTGCACATGTGTACAGAATTGCTTTATTTCCATTTTTGTCTCCATAAGCAAATAACTTTGGATTTCCAGATAGTCAGGAAGATTCTCTGGATGGGGAAAAAATGGCAGAGTAACTCTCCCATTGACTCTTTTTTGCTTATGAGCCTACCTTCATACTGAGTCTACACCCTTTTTGAAAAGAACCTTTAATGGACATTTCTGCTATTTTCAAATGCTTAAGGACTATGACACCATTTGTATGTCCTTTTCTGCCTGTGAGCCTTACAGCCTGTAAGGTTTGATCACATTTTCATCAGTCCCAAAGCTACTACTTACATTACTGCTTAGGACACAGCTTTCACTAATTAATGTCAACTATTTCTAGGATTTCTGTGTTACCTAGCTTTTGGAGATATCATCTGTAGGTTTTTCTTTTGTTTTGTTTTGTTTTCTGTCCTGTTTGATGAATTGGGCATTCAAGAGGTGTTTGGGGAGCAATTCGAGGTGTTTCTGTTATGTTTAGGCCATGATCATGTTACTTGGTCTGTATTGCTTTACTTTTAATTTTTAAAGTATTTTTATTAATTAATTTTAAAAGTACATGACTATACAGACAAGATATACTTCGAAAATTAAATATATAATTTGAAACAAAAAGTTGTAGTGAGAAGAGTCATGCAGTTTTACAGTCTTAAAAATCTCTTCAATGTCTGGCCTGGAAGACAGCTGAATTAATGCTTCTGCTATCAATCTGCTGAAATCTGTTGAATTCTGTTGTCAGAATTGAGGTTTATGCTGAAAATATGACTTCACTGCAGATATTCTATTGTTTTACTTTAGAAATATTTTTTCATCATCTTATAAAGAAAAATGTGTAAAGGATTGTTACATTAAAAAAATAACTTCATGGCCAAGCGTCTGCTTTCTTGATCATCACTCAGGGTTGGATATCATTGCTCAGGGTTGAATTATGCTATGGCCTTTCCACAGCCCAGTGAATGTCTCCATACCACTGTTCTTTTTTTTTTTTTCATTTTTCTTTTATTATTCATATGTGCATACAAGGCTTGGTTCATTTCTCCCCTGCCCCCATACCACTGTTCTTTTTTCTGCAAGTGTTCTGGGTTGTGTTTGCTGCTCATGGATTTCAGAGAATTCCTCTCTCTTTACAATCATTATTTTCTGTGATTTCCTGGCATCCTTCAGCCACTCTACTCTGCTCTAGCACATGCTGAAGTCTCTGAGCTGAGATGCTCACTGCAGGACAGAGGCCCGTATTACACTAGACTGGGGGGTGCATTGCCATTGCTTCTGAAGTTCTCTTCCCCTTCCATCCATCACCAACATCTGTTTACCTTAAGTTTGATGTAGACATTACCTTCTTTGAAGAGTTTTTTATATTAAAGTATATTAATAGTACAATTGTGTTTCATTGTGATATTAGAGTACATGCATATTTTGATCAAATTCAACCCTTTATTACTCTTTGTTTCCTTCTTTCCTCATGTTCTCTTTATTTAACAGATTTTATTGTGTTTCATCATGCTTTTTCCAAGCAAACATATAATGTACTTCTACCATACTTACATCATAACCATCACCCCACTCTTCTTTCTCTCTCACCCCTCTCTCTGCCTCCCTTCCCAGCAGGCCACATTTTACATTCACTTTTTATATTATTATTATTATTATTTTGTCATCATTATTATTATTATTTAGGTCTAGATTCCACATATGAGAGAAAATGTAAAATTTGTCTTTCTGAGCTTGGCTTATCTCATTCAACATGATGATCTCTGGAAGAATTTTAATTGTCTTTCTGGCAATGCTGAGAAATGATGGAAAATAAAGTTTCACAAGATATTTCTCTTTGTTTTAACTTTTAAATTTCAGGTTTTATGTAGTTAATATCATATAGTAAGACTGGCACAAACATGTTTCATATTTTAGAATAGAGAGGCTAAACTTACTGATTTCAAAGTATAAACCTGATCATACAGTTCTTAGGTGCATTTTTGAAGTCTAAAGATATTCAGTACTAAACAGACATGAAGACCAGTGGAACAGAATAGAGGACCCAGATATGAAGCCACACAACTATAACCAACTTGTCTTTGACAAAGGAGCTAAAAATATACGATGGAGAAATAGCAGCCTCTTCAACAAAAACTGCTGGGAAAACTGGTTAGCAGTCTGCAAAAAACTGAAACTAGATCCATGTATATCACCCTATACCAAGATTAACTCAAAATGGCAAGAATCTTAATATCAGACCAAACTCTAAAGTTGATACAGGAAAGAGTAGGAAATACTCTGGAGTTAGTAGCATAGGTAAGAACTTTCTCAACGAAACCCAGCAGCACAGCAACTAAGAGATAGCATAGATAAATGGACCTCATAAAGCTAAAAAGCTTCTGTTCATCAAAAGAAATGGTCTCTAAACTGAAGAGGAACCCCACAGAGTGGGGAATATATTTGCCAGCTAACATCAGACAAAGGACTGATAACCAGAATATATAGGAACTTAAAAAACTAAATTCTCCCAAAACTAATGAACCAATGAAAAATGGACAAGTGAACTAACAGAACTTTGTCAAAAGAAGAAATTCAAATGGCCAAAAACACATGAAAAATGCTCACCATCTCTAGCAATAAAGGAAATGCAAATTAAAACCACACTAAGGTTCCACCTCACCCCTTTAGAATAGCCATCATTAGCAACACCACCAACAACAGGTTGTTTGACGAGGATGCGGGGAAAAAGGAACTCTCTTACACTGCTGGTGGAATGTAACAGTACAACCACTCTGGAAAAAAATTTGGAGGCTACTTAAAAAGCTACACATTGATCTACCATATTAGCCAGCAATACCACTCTTGGGATATACCCAAAAGACTGTGACACAGGTTACTCCAGAGGCACCTGCACACCCATGTTTATTGCAGCACTATTCACAATAGCCAAGTTATGGAAACAGCAAGATGCCCCACCACTGACGAATGGATTAAGAAAATGTGGTATCTATACCACAATGGAATTTTATGCAGCCATGAAGAAGAAGAAATGTTATCATTCACTGGTAAATAGATGGAATTGGAGAACATCATTCTGAGTGAGGTTAGCCTGGCCCCAAAGACCAAAATTGTATGTTCTCCTTCATATATGGACATTAGATCAAGGGCAAACACAACAAGGGGATTGGACTTTGAGCACATGATAAAAGCGAGAAGCACACAAGGGAGGGGTGAGGATAGGTAAGACACCTAAAAATTAAAATAGCATTGTTGTTGCCCTTAACTCAGAGAAACTAAAGCAGTACCTTAAAAGCAACTGAGGCCAATAGGAAAAGGGGACCAGGAACTAGAGAAAAGGTGAGATCAAAAAGAATTAATCTAGAAGGTAACACACATGCACAGGAAATCAATGTGAGTCAATGCCCTGTATAGCTATCCTTATCTCAACCAGCAAAAACCCTTGTTGCTTCCTATTATTGCTTATACTCTCTCTACAACAAAATTAGAAATAAGGGCAAAATAGTTTCTGCTGGGTATTGAGGGGGTAGGAGGGAGAGGGAGGGGGCGGAGTGGGTGGTAAGGGAGGCGGTGGGGGCAGGGGGGAGAAATGACCCAAGCCTTGTATGCACATATGAATAATAAAATAAATAAATAAATAAATAAAATAGAGTTCAGAGTAAAAAAAAAATGGAATGTGGCAAGGAGAAATAGGCTAGGACTTGATTTAATTTGAACTATATGAATCTCAGTTTTCTTATTTTAAAAATGATGACACTGTTATTGATTGTATAGGGTTTCAGAGAAAATTAAGACAGATAATTAAAGTTCTTAAAATTGCAAAAAAAAAAAAAGATATTCAGTACTATTGTTCAAGTCCTTTAACAATTTTGTGTGATCTCAGGTAATGTGATTCCCAAGTATAAAATGGTATGTTTGTAGGCACTAATTTTTGAGACACACTTGCAATTATAGATGTCACTAGTATATTGGTATTAAAAGATGTAATTTAAGGCCCTTTGTTGAGTTTGGAAAATTAACTTATAGCAACCTGTGACTTGATAATTATGACTAAGGCCAGTAGATGCACTGAGTTACAGATTGAAGCCAGGCTCTATCACATAACTAATGCATGACACTCAATGTAGGTCCACGTTTAGAAGGAGATTTAGCCTGGTAAACCCAAACTTCAGCAATAATAAACTCTCTTAAGGTGAGTGACATTCAGAAAATCTCTCCTTGATTACAGCTTAGATCCCAATAACATCTTGTGTAGTCTCTTGAGGATCTCCTTAGTCTTAATGGAATAGATGATTGGGTTAAGCATCGGAGGCACAAAGAGATAGACCAGGGACATGAACTTGTGAACATAATTGGGGGCATGCTTTGCAAATCGATGGACTATTGACACACTAACCATGGGCACATAGAAGATGAGCACAGCACAGATGTGGGATACACATGTGTTGATTGTCTTAAGTCTTTCCTCCTTGGAGGCAATGGCCAGCACAGAGTGCAGAATGAGCACATAGGAGAGTAAGATGAGCATTGAGTCTACACCAAAGGCAGAAATGACAATGAATAGACCATACATGCTGTTGATGGTGGTATCTCCACAGGGCAGTCCGATCAGGTCAGGGTGCAGATAGTAGGAATGGAAGAGCACATTGAGCTTAGAGAAGGACAGCCTCTTCAGAAGGAAAGGCATTGGGAAAACCAGGCAGAAACTTCTGATAATAACAAACATGCCCATTTGCACCACACGGGCATCACTGAGTACTGTGGCATAGCGCAGTGGATTACAGATGGCCACATAGCAATAAAAGCTCATGACCAGCAGGACCCCAGACTCCATGAAGGAGAAAAGGTGGATAAAGAACATTTGGGCCATGCAAGAATTAAAACTGATTTCTCTTAAGTGGAAGCAAAATGTGGCCAGTACAGTGGGTAATGTGGAGAAAGATACACCTAAATCATTAACTGAGAGCAGGGACAGGAAATAGTACATAGGCTGGTGTAAGCTCTGTTCCTCCTTAATAATGAACAGGATAAGGGCATTGCCCACAACAGAGACAAAATAGAAAGTACCAAGGGGCAAAAATATCCAGTGCTGGGAGGTCTCCAGTCCTGGGAGTCTTGTCAAGGTGAAGAAGGCAACTCTGAATTGTTGGGTTGAGCTCCCATACTGGTACTCCTGCTTAGATTCTCCAGCTACTATCCTGTGAAGAAGACATACACAGTTTTATGCATGGCCTCTAACCAATTTAATTTTAAGACTCTCGTTTAGCATCTACTTGTCACTCTAAGACATTAATCAGTTTTGGTCACCATATGGATCATCCTTACTTCTCATTGCTACAGAGATTTCTGAAACCTCTGTATTGTGTCTTTGTACCTAATCAGCAGCATAGTTATTTTGATCTCCTCAGTTTTGTCTATCACTTTTATTAAATTTGTGTCTAAAAACTTTATATCATTTCATCTTCCTAGAACTGGTAAACACAGTGACATTTGTTACTGATAATGGTCTGGACAATGCCAATGTATCAGTAAGTCATAATTCTGAAAATATATAGACTATGAGAGGAAATACATTTTTTCTTTTGTTTCTATATCCTTTATTGAGAATCAAAGTGCTCTATAAGCATCTCTCTTCCTTCTCACCAAGGTCTAAAATCAATGTCTCTAAGAAGTCTTTCAGATACAGCCTATCCTGATATGCTTTTTTCCATCATTGTTGCTCCAAGACTTTTCTAAATTGTGAAGAAATTGAAAGACTCTCTGCAGCACCAAAAGATAGGTTCTCCCCACTGTCCTTACCTCCTGGTGTGCAAACTCAGGTAGTGCCAATGGTAACATTTTATCTATGTTCCAAATTTTCCCACATGGAAAACAATGTCCCAGTACTACCCAGTGGTCTTCCTATTTTGCTTTGTGCATGAAGGTATGTGTCAAAGTACCCTAACTGAATCTCCTTAGGAAAAATAGGAAGATGGAGACACAGCATATGTGTGACCATAGGCATAGACATGGTCCCTCTGAGATTCTAGAAAAAAATACATTTTACATACACCCCCTCCACACAAACACACAGAGCACATATTCTGTTATTCATAGATCATAACCCACAGGTGTGATATAGGTGCACAGAACCTATCACATACCTGACTTGGTAACACATAGCACTATGATACCACAGAGCCTAAAAGGATTTAGGGCTACTTGCTGGTAGTATAAAATATGTTTCAAATATTCCTCCATGTTTATACCTTTCTGAACACTAATTTATAAACATCCACACATAGACACACAACACACGTGCAGTTTAGCAAATGCATCAACATTAGCATATCCACAATAATAGTCCCACTAATTATCTTCCTGTGACATGCTTAATACAAAAATCCATCTAAAATTAACATTTTTTAATTACTCTGGTTTTTGCTTCTCTGATTTTTCTCCAGGTGCACATCCAAGAACCAAGCATAGGACATGATATTTCAAACTGTAAGGTTTTAAACTAGGAAGTGTGAAAAACCTTTAAGATAAAATATAAATCTGATTTATCAGTCCCTTAACCTAATAGTAGATGTTTAGTATTAGTGTTTTGATTCAGACAAGCTCCTAGAAGCATTTCTTTGTAAGGAGGTACATTTATCTCATGTTTAGAGGTAAGATATAAAGGCTATAGTTTGCCTGGAACTTTAGTAAAAAATGTTAAAACTGGGATAAGGTCCTGATGTAGAGCCCAGGTAGATGAGATAAGAGAGAAAGTACCCACTGAATGGAAGACCCTCCTTTTCTCTGTAGCTGCACGTACTGTGTTGTGGATCCAACTGACAGAGCAGAATCACCAAACTCTCCTATGACATGAATTTCTGAACAACCTCACATCCCAAGACTCTTTTATTTTTGGTCGGAAGAGGGGGTGTTGACATACTGGGAGAGGCATCAATGAATAGGGAGCTGGGCCAAAGGATGATTGCTCCCAGGAGAATCTCACTCTTGGACTCATTATCCTTGATGTCATCACCCATATGCACTAGAATGTTAATCATTTATGTCATGATTGCAAACAGTACATAAAATGCTCACCAAATATAGTCATAAACATCCTGAGATGCCCACAAATGCACAGACACATTCAGCTATTTATTTACTAATATTGCCTCTTTCTAATTTACACATATTCCCACAAACATAGATATGCTCTAAAACTGCCCAATGCTCTAGTCATTAGTTATTTATCATGACATGCCAAACACACACTATAATTTGCCTAATATTGCACTGATTATTACAACTAATTTAGATAATGGCATAACTTTGGAAATTGACAAATACTCATGCACATGTTTGGAGAAATGACAGAGTATGTTTCAAATGTACTCCCATTCTCATATAACCAAAAGAATATCTTTCAAACACATGCCAATACTATTATTAAAAATTATTAAGCTGTCCAATTCATATACCCACATCTATTCACAGATTAATGTATAGAGTTTAAGTGCACCATGATACTTCATAAATACCAACATTCACATAGAAGGATTGTTATGTTAGCATTTTTTTACTCTACCACAGTATGGGACTATAAAAATTTAAATCCATACATTTTAATTAAAACCAAATAAAATAATGGAGGAAAAGCCATTGTTAAGCAATTTTTAAACATTATTCTCAGCATTAGTCATTTTACAGGTCAATAAAGACGTAACACCTATTATGGTGAAGGAGATAAGTATTTTAAAATAATTGATCCACCTAACAGCTCAAATATGCTTCCAGGCCTCATCTAGAATAATATCATAAACATGATATTAAACAAAATTAATGCATTTGTCAAAATTTTTCTATTGTGCATGTAATATTTGAGAATTTTGTGTCAAAGAATCATACAAAATATTGAACACCAAAAAATGATATAAATGCCGACACATTTAGGGGAAACATATTGATGTTACAACTTACTTTAAATGTTTCCCAAAGGTACAGTGTATTTATAAATTGGTAGAAGGATAGATCCATGAGCAGATAGATACATATAACAAGTATAATAAAATATTGGTAATGTAACATAGGTAGTGGGTATACTTAAAAGTTCACTCAATTTTTTTCTAGTTTTCTGGGTGTTTGAAATTTCTCACAACAAAATGTTAGAAATTTGCTAATGAAAAAAGGGTAAAGAGACAAAGAAGGACATAGAACATTCTTCTTTTTTTTGATTGCATAAATAATTCATTTCTGTTCACAGCATCATATGTGCATTATAAAAGGAGATGGAAACAAAGAAGACAGAGAATTACAGCAGAAGAGTTGAAAACTGAAACCATGGGACACAGTCCCAACACCACCACAGAAAATTGGTAGAGTAGAACATTCTTCTGGAAGTTTAACATACATTTATGGTAGTGATGGGGAAATTGAATTTAATACATATTAGCTCATGTCCCAATTTATACCAGTCCTGAGCAAAAATACAATGTTATGAAGAAAGAGGCAACAATCCTACTTGAATGGTTATGCAAGGTTCTGGGCATATAAGGAGACTTCAAAAGTACATCAGTCCTAAAGTAGTTCTGATAGTCTGGCTTTGAGGAAGATGTTATACATTAGAATATCTACCTCCCGGAACTTGAAAAGTCAGAATGCTCTCCTGTTTCCGGGTCTACAGAGAGATGACACTGAATAGTGCTATCTATGAAGGTGAAAGCACAAGGGAGATCATTTATCTTACAGTGCTAATGATACAATAAGCAAGATAAATGCTTCTATTCTACAAACTCCAGTCTTATTTACCCACAAATCCAATCCTCACCTTACAGAGCCTCTTCTCCAATAATAAGAGTCCAGTCATTACTTGAAGAAAACAGTCTCCTGTATCAACTGCTTGCCACACAGGTTCAGTGATGAGTTGCATTCACAGATGCTGGGAGTCTCTCATCCCCTGGTTGACATAGGGAAAGCCTCTATCATGGGTTATCTCTCTTCTATGACTCTAACTTCTACTTGTTGGGCTCACCTTTGTTGCAGGTCTCTAAAACCTACCTTGGACTCTTCAGTAAACTTGTGAGTTTGATTTCTGGCTTTTGCTTATCTCTAGTCTATATTACCTTATACTATTCAATTTCCTCGTAATGTTAAAGTCTATATTTTTAAATTTTGGAATAAATTCATTCTGAATTATTGTACTAGTAGTCATGGCATTATCTCTCAGTCTCAGTCCATTTTGCGGGGGGGGGGAGTACTGGGGTTTGAACTCAGGGCCTTTACTTTGAGCCACTTGGCCAGGCCTTTTTTGTGATGGCTATTTTCGAGATAGGGTCTCTGGAACTATATTACCAGACTGGCTTCAAACCCTGATCCTCCTGATCTCTGCCACCACAGTAGCTAGGATTATAGAGTAGCTAACACCACCAGTGCTTGGTAGTGGCTTGGTCCATCTTCTGTACCATTTTTTTGTGTGATATTGTGGCTGAGCACATTGAACTGCATTTTATCTTTGCCAATCAGTGGCCAGTACAGGTCTGATAATTTGGTGCACTAAAATGCTGGGACAGAACGGAGGGACATGTACATCCTATTTGCTTTATGTTGATACTCAAGTAGCAATTCTTCACTGAAACACCAGTGGTTAGCTCCAGAAATATTAGTTGGTTTAATTTTGCAACTTTCCAGTCTTACTACACTCTCTTAAAGACCTGAGAATAAGCCAGAGAAAACTGCCTCGAAAACCCATTACAGAGAGGTTAGTGTCAGTCATATCTGGAGTCCTCTCCTCTTTATTTCCAAATAATTTGTGAGTGAAACCTCTCAAACTTTAGTCCACACAAAAATACTATAAACAGTTTTAAAATTTTTAATTTTTGTAGAAACTCATACAGTAAAATATTTATTCTACTAATTTGAACAAATATAATTTATCTCAGAAAGAAAAGGCTTTTCTGCCAGTGTTTTAATTATAGAATTGTTTCATATTTATTTGGCAGCAGCAAAAGAGATAATGTGAATGTTGACAGGAATCATAGACTCATTTGCAAGGTCACACTTAGACTTGATCTTCTCATCCACACATATGCCCTATGATGTGAGTTTTCAATGCATAGCTGAAACTGAATTTCATTTTTTACAAAGCTTAAAAAATACAGAACTCAAAAATTTGGCTTTAATTTCAAATGAAG